TCCTGCTTCTCTAAAGGTGGTCTAACTGAGATCTTTTCCACTGTTGCAGATTTCTCTGGTGGAAAAATATATTGAAGAACAGCTACTGGAGCGGATTCCTGGATTTAACATGGCGGCTTTCACAACTACATTACAGTGAGTTGAGTGCGACTGTAGGTTTTTATGTTTCTTTCCTTTCTCCTTCCCTAGACTGGGGGCGAGGTGGAAAGTCTGCCTTTTTTATTTAAGAGAAAACCTTCAGTGGGCTCTGAATGTGAAGTCAATACTTCTGCACAAAATCTTTTTTTTTTTTTAGAGAGAGAATTTTTTAATATTTATTTTTTAGTTTTCGGCGGACATAACATCTTTATTTGTATGTGGTGCTAAGGATCTAACCCAGCGCCACGTGCATGCCAGGGAGCACCCTACCGCTTGAGCCACATCCCCAGCCCTCTGCACAAAATCTTGAAGTGACATGTGTCTGGCCATTCATTCCTGAAGCCACCATCCTTTGCTTTTCCAGGCACCATAAAGATGAAGTGGCTGGTGACATATTTGACATGCTGCTCACATTTACGGATTTTCTGGCTTTTAAAGAAATGTTTCTGGACTACAGAGCAGTAAGTTATGACTGCCTCTTTATCTAGCCACCCTGAATCATTTAGGAAGTTCCAACTAGAAACCATCTCCCACGTTTCCCTGATCATTGCCCCTTAAAACTGGCCAGTATCAGTAGAGCGGCTCACATAGTGTGTGAGTGAAGGGAGCTGGTAACCACTGGCCAGACTGTGTTTTGTTTATTTGTTTGTTTGTTTGTTTTGGCACTGGGGAATGAACCCAGGGGCCCTTGACCACTGAGCTACATCCCCAGCCCTTTATGAATTTTATTTAGAAACATAGTCTCCCTAAGTTGCTCAGGGCCTCACCAAGTTTCTGAGGCTGGCTTTGAACTCACAGTCCTCCCACCTCAGCTTCCTGAGCTTCTGGGATTACAGGCCTGAACCGACTGGCCAGAGCCTTTTCGTGTTTGGCTGAAACAGAACCTTTGAGTCCCTAAATACGCAGGACAAAAACCAAAGCACTGGTCTAATCCTGTCTTAATGTAGGTTTTTTATAAGAAAAATATTTTCCAGTGAAGAGGGGAGCATTTTTAAAGAGTGCCCAGGGCTGTAGTTGAGCAGAAATACAGAATAATCTGCTTTACATCCCTGTGCCCCCTCCCCCCACCCCCTCTCCCTGCACCATAGGCAGGGTCCTGAGCCAGAAAGGCTGCTTCCTGTTGCTTGCTCCTTGAAACTGTTTCCTTTTTCATGCAGGAAAAGGAAGGCCGGGGACTGGACTTAAGCAGTGGCTTAGTGGTGACTTCATTGTGCAAATCATCCTCTATGCCAGCTTCCCAGAACAATTTGAGGCACTAGGTCCCATCTCCAGGCAATGAACAGGAACATTCTTGATGTCACCAGTCTGACAGACTCAGAGAGACTACAGCTAATGACGACAGAAGAGTCCATCTCAGAAAGACTCTGTTCTGCAGCCCTTGGTTTGTGTTAAGTATTGACAGGTCAGAAACAACATGACCGGACCTTTGGACCCACTTCTCCTGACAAGCCGTTTTGTATTAGTGTTCTTCCCCTCCCCACCTAGTCACCTCTCAGGTGCTTGGGTCAGGCCCCTCTGATCAGGCCCAGGTCAGCCATTCCACCTGGGAGCCCTTCCCTGGTACATGTTGGTGTGCATAACCACAACCACGAGCCCTCCTCTTTCCAGCAGGCTTTGCATGAGTCCTTTGTGCACTCACTGCTCTTTTTTACATGGGACATAGTTTCAGTCCTTCACCCTCAATGGGGTTTTTGTTTGGGAGTATTTATCTAGGGAGCTACTGGAGCCAGCTGCCTGTCCTGCGATTTCTGTGTCTCCTCTGATCACAGCTTGTGCTGGCTGTGGGGTCAACCAAGAGAGATGTCCTTTACCTAAAAGCTACGTGTGAAAGTCAACTCCCAGTCTTAACATACATGGTCCTTGTAACACTGTCTTCTGTTGGTCCTGATATAGTCCCACTGTTTCTAGAAGTCTCTTTCAAGCATTATTTTTGAAAAATATTTTTATAGATGAATACTCAGGCAAACTTAGTGGATATGATCTTGGAACTTCCATGATTATCCACCTAAAGATCAAAGTATTATATGCTATGTGCTTTTTAGTCATTAGTGCTGTAAAGATAAAAATGCTTTTCATGTTGGTGCACCTGTTTCAGCAGCACCAGAGAATGTCTGCTGTGTGCTGGAACAGGCTGAAGCAACCCTGCGTCATGGCATGTCAGGTGTGTTGTGCATGTTGGCTTAAAACCCTTTCTGTGTAAGCCAGTTGTTTGGTTTTTTTATTAGGGTAGGTAAAGACTCTGCGATTTCTTATTCCCTTCACAATCTCCTGCCAAGATGGTGTTCACTGGTCTAGCTCAGCATGAGGAGGAGGCAGTGGACAGCTTTACTGTTCGTGTGTCAGCTTTGGTTTACTACATTGTTTAGTTTAGTACTGACAGAGAACTTATGTGTCACACATCCCTGGAAAGAAGGAAAAAACAGTTCAGTTCCCCTGTGTACTTTTTTTATTTTACTTTTTATAGTGAAAATAAGAATCTGTGCTGACTTTTCACTTATCTTCTGGTTTTAAAGGATGAGCTATAAGCTGTGTGTTTTTCTGTACTAATGTGTCGTTTATTACTTTTTGTACCATGAGTAAAATTTGAGGTGTTTTGCAAGAACCATCATTCTAAACAAGTTGTGTCCTCTACTTATTTATTACTGGTGTTTTGTAATACTGGGGGTCAGGCCCAGGGCCTCACACATGCCAGTCAAGGTGCTCTGCCACTGAGCTACATGCCCAGCCCCCATCCTCTCTTTAATGTGGCCACTGCCATCCGGTTATTATTGCTTTGGTCCTTCTAAACTAAAGGCACTCCCAGAACCAGCTTTTTAAATGCCACCTCTCCTGGGCCTGCTTTTCCTTCCTCCTCTTTTAAGTAGGACCACCCACCACGGGCCAGGCATGTCGGAAACCCGTGGTAGGATCTGGTGGTCCTAGCTGAGAAGAGCAAATGGACAAGTCCAGAGATGAAATCATGGAAAATGAGAAGAAAAGCAAACTGTTCTTTTCAGTCTTTCCACTGAGAAAAAAGCAAGCCCGGTTGAGCTTAAGTCAGCTTGCTGATTTCTTTTTAAATAAATTAGAAAAAAATTAAAATGAACTAGAAATCGGTCCACATAGAAACTTAGACTGTGATGTCCCAATCCTCCTCGACGGGGCTCGGCCCTGGCCTGGAGTGAGAAGACTGACGTTCTGGTCCAGCCCCAGAAGAGGGCCACACACCCCTCTCCCTGAGGACTCCTCACCCCTAGGTCAACAGTCACCAAGCTGCAGTCTGTAACGTTCCCCCTGAGACAGGCTGTGTTTTAGAGTATCAGACCTGACAGGAGGGTGGACTGTAGCTGCCTAGTGTTTCATTTTCTCTAAGCTTCAAAATGGTTTGCTCTTCCTTAAAATCAAACTCATCTTACAGCTTCATCCTGGCATGATTATAATTTACTATTCAAACTCCAGTAATATGCCGGGTCATCAAGCCTGACCCTCATCCCTCAGCCAGAGCTGCTCCTCCACAGCTGCTTGGACTAGCTACCTTTTAATTGTTGCCAATTTCTTTAAAAAGGGCCAAAGGGCACTTAGAAAAAGCCTTTGGCCTGTCACCCAGGGGATGTTCCCTTAAAATGTTAGGAAAATAAGCTCCAAAGGACCCAACTGCCATCCTTTCTGCCGTCCACCAGCTCTGAGTATGTAGCACGGCCAGCCACTGCGACATCCTCTCTGGGCTTCCTAGACTTTTGAGGTAGGTGGCATTAAAATTACTAAACTTGGCGCTTTTTTTTTTTTTTGGCTTTTGCAGTGTGGTCCTGGGGGTCAAACCCAGGCTCCACAAAGGCAGAGCCAAGCCTCCAGCCTCTAGGACACTTTTAAGAACAAAAGGGCGGGCTATGAAACCTGTGCCCAGACAAAGGGCACAACCAGAACTGCTCCGGCAAAGCAGTCAGGAAGCATGGGCAGGGTCCCTTGGGACATTAGTTGGCAGTACTGAGTGGCTCCTCAGCTGGAGCTGCCCTGTGACAGGCACATCCTGGAACCTTGGCACAGTCTTAACCTGCAGCTTCCTGGAGTTTACATTGACAACCATGAGGCCCCGTTGTTTCCAAATAAGTTCTGTCTTTATTTTTGTAAAAAAAACAAAAGTCTCCACCAACCACATGACAACTCTTCAGGAGAGGTCCTACTTCCCTCCCTCTGCCATGTCCCATGTGCCTAATCAACAGCGTGGGGGGAAGTGGTCACAGGGTGTCAGCTTTTCCCAAAGGGAGAGTTACAAATGAGGGCTTGGGCCAAGGAGGGCGCCTGGAGAGGTTTGTCATCAAGAAATCGCCTGGAACCTATTTGCGTTGAATAACCAGGATGTCTGGAATCAGCTCTTCCTATGTCTCCCAACAGGTGACATGTTGGTTTGGGGAAGGGGATCAGAATTGTGTTTTAAGGAGTCAGAATGGTTTGTGGGCTTGCTCAGCGCGCCCGCTCACAACGAGGGTACACAGGTGTGGCTTGTTAGCTTACAGCTATGGCGCTGCCGGCCACAGAGCTGGAGCCTGTTAGTGCAGTTAGTGCTGGTGCGCAGGGTGGGCCCAGCCGGCCTCGCACGCTGAAGTCCTCGGAAGACAAGGCGAGACAGCGAGAGCCCCTCATCCCCCGTCACCTTCTGCTGAATAAGGGGGATGGGGAGGAGCTCAGCCGTGGGCTCTTGCCAGCCACATGCATGTGGCCTGTTCCCTAGGAGTGCTGGGAGCACTTGGTCTCTGGGCAGGGAGAGCGGCTAGCACAGTCCCGCCGGCCGACTCACGCAGGGCTCCAGGCTCAGGTCTGCTGATGGCCCTGTACTGCGTCCCAGCGGCAGCTCAGCCAGCCAGGGCAGGCCAAGGCACAAGGGTCTAGGCGTAGCCACCAGCCACCTGACTGGTAGCTGCGTTGCTGCCCACTCCTCGCCAGGCCTGGAAGCTGAAGAAGGCGCTGGCTCCGTAGGCGATCATCACCAGACTGGCAAAGAACTGGAGGGAGAAAGGTGGTAGGTGGCCGGTCAACAGCACTGGGAGCTGCAGGGTGACCGTGACACCAGCACATGGGTCTCCTCAGATGCCCCCTCATCCAACCAAGCAAGTCTGGCAGCCATGGCCCCTCGTCCTTAGGCCCATTGGACAGCCGGGGCAGGGGAGGCCAACAGGCACTCAAGCATAGGAAAAGGTCATGTCAGACGGGGCTCTGGCCACGGCGAACCTCGACCTGCACAATGTGCCCAGAGTGACTGTGAGGGAGGGCCACTGGACACCTAGCCAGGCATTTAGTTTTAAAAAGGTAACATTCAGGTGGGTGGTAGAGCTCAGTGGTAGCGTGCTTGCCCAGCACGCTTGAGGCCCTGGCTGTGAGACCCAGCACCTCGGGGGGGGCGTACATTCAAAGTTCCCCCAGGGGACATGGCTCAGTGGCTAATCACCTCTGGGTTCAACTTCTGCATACCAAAAAACAAACAAAAACAAAGCCACGTGGAAATTTTCTGGATCCAATTCATACCTCTATGTTTGCATCTCCTGTATCTGCGTTCAGACGCTCCACATGTGTGGCCAAGTTCACTGATTGCAAAACCACCCTCACCAGGAAGAGTGAGGACACAGAAGGGCTGCCCTATGTTGGACATGACCATGACCCCAGGCAGGTCCCTTAACCTCCCAGAGCCAATGTGTCCTTGTCTGTGAAAAGGGATGGGGAGACCCTTCCTCTTCCTCAGGGCCTTGCCGAGTGGAGCATGACAGGTGTGCAGGGCTCTGTGGTTCACTCCACCAGCCACCAGACGTGGGGCCTGAGTTTGGCCTTCCCAGGAGAACTTGTAACATCCCCAGGTACGGCTGAAACCCAAGGGCAGAGGGTCTCGAGTTCTCAGCACATTCTCCAAGAGAGCCTGTGACCCTAAATCAGGATGGCACGACTGATTTTCAGCAGAGTTCCACAGTGAATCAAAGCTGCCACTGGCCACCACAAACCGTTCCCAAGCATCTGTTGAGCCCAGGGCCTTGAACATGCTCAGCGAGTGCCCACCAACTCTACCACTGAACGCCACCATCCCCTCGTTCCTCAAGGTCCTAGAGTTCATTAAGGAAGCCTGAAGGCAGCCTGGCTCCTCATGGGACCCTCTGAGGGACCCTCATGGGACCCGCCTGGCTCCTCATGGGACCCTCTGAGATGTAGGTGGTGGATACTTAGGTGGTGGCCGGTGCCTGGCCTCAGACCCAGGGAGCTCTGTGGAGGAGGGACCTTGGCTATAGACTGCTGGGGGGGACCCTAAGGGACATACTCACAGAGGCAGCTGCACGCTGGTTGTATGGCCGGGAGCCCTTCAAGGAAGTCTGGTCAACTGCTGCAGAGCAGGTGATGAAGGCGGTGACATAGAGAACGGTGGCAGTCACGTTGAAGATCATTAACTGGGGGAGGGGAGAAAAGGCTTAGGACAATCGGAGGGGACCTCCTGGCTCCCAGGGGGCACACCCCCAGAGTGGGATGGAAGAATGTGGGCCTATCCTATGAAAAGGGCCTCGAGGTCACAGTCCCCATGGGGTCAACCTGGAGGCCATCTGAGCAAGCAGCATAAAACAGCCCTAAGGCTGAGGGAGGGAATGGTCAAGAGGCCCCAGATGACCAGGCCAAGGCAGCCCAAGCCACAAAGCCACAGGCAAAACCCTTCCCCATGCAGCATGGCCCAACCGTGACCCAGCTCTTGAGACCCGCGGAGAGCCGCTCCTCCACGTGGGCTCAGGGCCAAGCCCAGGCCCTCCCTGGTGCCACTTCAGGGCTTAGCCCTGTGGCTGGTCAGTCACACCAGTGGGAGGGACCTTTTTTCTTTTTTTCCTTTTTCTTTTGGCAGTACTGAGGATTGAACCGAGGTCCTTACTACGCATGCCAGGAAAGCAGGCTACAAACTGAGATACACCCCAAGTCCATGGATGGGGATCTATGGCTCTCTCTTGGCCACACGCTAGACTGAAGGCCCAGAACAGATGTCAGGGTCAGGCCCTCAGAGGACCCAGACGCTCCTGGTAGAATATTCTTCCAGATGGCAGGAGGGGGCCTGGGCTGACTGCAGCCAGATCTCAGTCCCACATCCCAAATGCTTGGACCCTAGGGCCAGTTATGTCTTCAAACTAATAGTCCTCAATCATCAGGTTTGTCCCATTTATTTTTTAAAATTTATCCACATTTTAAAATTAGATTTCATTTGAAAACTTAAATTTTATATAAAATGTTGATAGGCTCTCGGGGCTGAGGACAGAGCTCAGTGGTAGAGCACTTGTCTAGATGGACAAGGATAGGGTCCCCTCTCCTACACTGCCAGGAACCAAAACAATCTCAGAATATAGGGTCCAGCCCAGTAACGGGGGATCTGCGTGGACAGATATGTATGTGGGGTTCCCAGAACTTCCTGAGCCACACTCCCAGCCCTTTTTGTATTTTATTTAGAGACGGGGTCTTACTGAATTGCTTAGAGCTTCCCTAAGTTACTGAGGCTGGCTTTGAACTCGAGATCCTCCTGCCTCAGCCTCCAGAGCTGCTAGGATTACCAGCGTGGGCCACTGCGCCCAGCTCACTCACATATCTTGCTTGGCCATGTAGCCCCGTCCTGGGGATCCCGAGGGAGGCCTCCAAGAGCACAGAAATAGTGCCTGCCTTACAGGCTCCCAGGGCAAGGGGCAGGGGCCTGGGACACGCTGCCAGCCCAGGGACCATGGCAAAGCCTGCCTAGCTCCTGCCTGTGATGTCAGGCGCTAACAAGCCCATTCTGTCCCTAGCATGACTCACGTTTCCTCGGTTGAGAAGTCATTGAATTGCAAACAATGCTGCCTAGTCCCAGCTGCGGTCCTACCCTCACGTGCCTGGCTCACTGAGAGCCTCGGACCCCAGCTGCAGGGGTTTTCTGGGTCAGAGAAGAAAACCCAGCAGCTTGCTTTGTGTCTGGCCAGGGTACTTCCTATGGCTGCTCTCGGGGGGCCTCGGGGGGATGTGCTAAGACTGACCTGGGCAAAGCTGGGACACCCGCCTGATCTCCTCTGGTGGCTGAGCTGTCTGCTGGCAGCGGTGTCTGGCTGTCCCACACCTTCCCCCCACCACCCTCCACCAGCCGCCCTCCACGCCCCAGCCTGTGCAATTCTGACTGCGGGCCCAGCCCGAGGCTGACCAAGCTGCCCACCCAGCTGAGATTCTGACCATCCTCAAAAAGGAAAAATATTTCAATTCCAAGTGGCCTCTTGTGAGGACCCCATGAGACAGGCAGCCTCTTTACCCCTTTCCCAGGACAAGGTCAAGGTGGCTTTCAGAAAACAGGACACCTGAGCCGTCCACCTCCCTCCCAACCCGCTCTGCAGGCCAGCTGGGGGTCAGTAAGGACATCGACCCTGCTGCTGCTCATTTAGAGAAGGCCACATGGTCAGTCCTGTCATGGCCGCTCCCAGAGGCAGAGGTGGGAGCCCAGAGCCACCCTCAGGGCCCCACCCAGACTTACCACGAGTGGCCAGGGCACCATGTACAACTTCAGGTGCAGCTGAAACAGGTAGAGGACGAAGAAGACGATTGTCACCAGCCAGAGGAAGACAGCGACGAACATCACCCAGCCGTAGGCCGGGTACAGGTGGTACGGGGTGTCAGCAATCAGGGCCCACACCAGCAGCCCCAGCACCTGCGGGGCAAGACAGGGCCACTGCGTCCAAGCCCCCACCACTCCGGCTGGAGGCCACAGACCAGGTCCCCAGGCCGTGGCCTTATTTCTCATCTAGTCAAGAAGTACTGATTGGCTCCTGCGGTCACCTGTGCCCGGTCACTCATACTTCTTTTCAGTCCTCATGCCGTGTGTGACACTGGCATCTCAGCAGAAGATGATAAGTGCTCCAAGACACCTTGCCTACTGCGTCTGGATTCCAGAACTCTCCTCTGTGCTGTCCTATCCCCCCACCCTGGGCACCCACCACCCAAGACCACAGAAACGTCACTTTCCCCAGACTGAGCTCCCTGGGGCGGGACAACGGCTGTGCTGGGGCTGGGTCACAACACCCAGCAGAGGACGGGCCTGTGAGGGACTCAGGAAGAACTACTGAGAGGACATCAGGTCACCAGCTCTGAGAGACGGCCAGCCACTCAGTCCCCAAGCCGGGAAAAGAACATTCCACGCATCCCCCTCCCGGCTGGTCCCAGCACAGAACCAGAGCCTCTAGATGGCCTCCAGCCGTAACACCTCCCCTGCCCCCAACTCTCCCAATTGCCCTTCCCTACAGGTGTCACCGTCCCTGTCTGACAGAGGACACGGGCCTCAGGGAAGCCAAAGGACCCTCCGTCCTTCTGGTGCGTCAGGATGGGCCTGAGCACCCCAGGATGGTGGTGCGTGCTGTGCCAGGTACTGAGTCAATACCTGGCTTAAACCCCGCCCCCTGACCACTGTGTGACCTTGAGCAAGCTGGTAGCCTCTCCGTGCTTGGATCAGCTCACTTTTACACGTGGGTTCACATTTGTAAACGGGACCAGAGGATGTTTGCTGGTGTTCCAAAAGAGGCCAAGGCCCGCTGACCACACAACCCCTGCCCTCCGGGCACGGGGAGTTCTACCTGGCCAGGTGTGCCGACTCACCCAGGGGAGCCGTCTGGGGACCTGGCACTGTGGCCCAGCAGAGGGCCTGTTCTGAGGCAGGGCCCAGGAGGTCCACACACGTGGACGTCAGGCAAGGTCTCATGTGTGGCCAGGCCAGGCCTCCCTCTCCTTCCCATTCTTCTAGGCTGGCTGAGAATGTCTAGGTTGGCACATCCTCCCTTCTCCAAGAGGACAGTCTCTGGAACCCCTGGCCACCAAGGGGACAGGAGAGTCTACTGTGGGGCTCTGGGAAAGGCTCCTGTGCTGGTCAGACACAGGGAGGGGCTGTCCCTGTTCTCCCTGGACAGTGGGCAGGCACATGGCACCAGCCCGGGGGAGCCAACCGTCAGCTGGGTCCCAGAGAAGAGTGTCAGGAGCAAGCCCACCTCCGGCCACGGGGCTTCGGAGACAATCTCCCTGGCTGCTCACACCGCCCAGGGGGCTGCTGACACTCACCTGAAGGCTCCTGACCCAGAGCCCAGCCAGAGCTGGGGCACCTGCCAGGGACCCCACCCCGAGGCACCCCAAGGACCAGACGGGAGGTTTCTGCATGGGACCCTACACATGGGAGGTCAGACAGGACTGGCTGCAGCCGAGCTGGCCCCGAGGCCAGCGCCCCTCTGGTAACTGCCCTTCTCTCTCGCGGTGGGAGCGCGGCCTCCCAGAGAAGCGGAAGGTGGAGAGCTGGGCCTGGGTGCCAAAGGCCGGGCCTCAAACCCCTGCTGAGCTGTGTGACATGGGCCAGCACCTCCTCCTGGTGGACACTCCACCTGGAAAATTCCAGAGAGGTCTGCCCAGAACTCACACCCGAGGGACGCGTTGGTGCCCTGTAGAATCTCCACTGCGCACGGTGCCCGCGCAGAGCACACTCAGCACACGCGCTTAGGAAAGAAGGGCCTCCCATGCTCATCCATGAAGGGGTCAGAAAGTGTCCCTGCCCAGCCCTGCTGGGTGTTAAGGAGGAAACAGGTGACAACCTGCAAGCTGCTCCTGCCCCAATGCCCAAGGAAGGCCCCCGGAGGGTCCCTCCCCGGGCGCTCTGCACCCCTCTCCTGGTGCTGGGGAGCTGCGGGGATCCTGCCAGCCTCAGCTGCAGGACCTCCATAAGCGAGGGAGGGGTGGCCGCAGGGCCCACTTTACACAGTAGCAGGGCCTTCCTCACCTGCACCGCTGGGGACAGAGCCCTCCTCAGGGAGGCCAAGGGCAGTCTGTCTCCAAACAGCATCCCCTTAACCTCCATCTTTAGATCATGCTGCCTGAAGCAGACACAGAGGGGAGGCAGGGAGACCCAGCGCTGGGGAGGCCACCGTTCTGAGGAGACAGACACTCTTGAAGCAGCACGCTCGGGCGGCCCCTTCTCCACGTGAGAACTGGGCACATCAAGGACAATTAGCTTTTATTTAAAGCAAGTTCCTACGGGCCCTGAAGGTCACTGTGTGGCCACACTCCAGCTGTCTCAAAGGAAGTTAGACAATGCAGTGAACTGAAAACCCAGAGAAGCCCAATTCGTTTCCACACAGCAAGGCCCTGAGCAACTTAGTGAAACCCTGTCTTAAAATAAATAAATAATAATAATAATAATAATAAAATAAAAAGGGCTCAGTGTTAAGCATGCCTGGTTCAACTCCTGTACCCCTATAGACCTCCAGTGCCATCTTGTCACCATCACCCTCCTCACCGGGACCTCTCAGGGCCCGGCGGCTGTGCCAGCCTGGGGAGGTGTCTCATTCTCTACAAAGATTCCACCGTCAACTTATGTCTGAGTCTTCTGTTGTCCCCATTTTCCAAACAGAAGCTCAGAAGGAGAGCTGCCTGTGGTCACTGTTGGGGAAAGACAGGGTGGTTGGAACCCAGCTCTGTCCCTCCCTGGACCCTGTCATACTGTGAGTTTTTGAGCCATGTGTAAAAACTGGGGGCACTTCAGCCAGCTCAAGGGCAGGGCTGTCCGTGCCCTGCCCCGTCCTGTGCAGCGCGGCCCCACCTGTTTTCCAGATCAGCAAAGGGGCCGCGGAGATGAGGCGGTGGATAAGCCGGGGGAATGTCTAGTGTTCCTCCTGCCCAGCTGGCTCCCGGCCAGAGAGCCACCTCAGTTTGTCCTAGAACAAGGAAGGTCCACTCCTGAATGGGAACCTGACAGACTGGTCTCTCCTGGTCCCTAAGTCCCTAGCAGAGGACCCAGGGAGACCCTGCTCAGGACATAGGAGGTCTCAGGGCACCCTCACACCTGCTGACCACTTCGCTGGCCAGGTGGTCCTCCAGGGGAGCTGAGTCCCAGGCTACAATTCCAGAAGCTTCCAGTCTCCCCGGACCCCCAGGTGGGACCACAGAACCCCCTCCTGCTGGGGCAAGGACCCACTGTCTTGTGGTGGGATTCATCCCACCCTCCATTCAGCACTGGAGGCTGGTAGCTTAAGGCAGGGGGAGGCGGAAGGCCCTGACTCTGCCCCCTGCCCCAGGGCCTCGCCCAGGTCCCTCCGCCCAGAGCGCTGCTCTCCAACCCAACACCCCCCCAGGCCTCCTGGTGCGTGCTCTCCTCAGAGTCCATCCACACAGCAAGTACCTATTGGGCCCCGGTGGCAGCCTGGGCTGCCCTGCTCCCCCGAAGCTGGCACAGCCAGACACACTCCAAGCAAGTAAAGTGCAGGTGGGGACATGCAAGGGCTGTGGGGAAACCCAGCTGACAGCCAGGCTTGGTGACACACAACTGCAACCCCACACAGCCACTGGGGAGGCTGAGGCAGGAAGACCACAAGTTCAAGGCCAGCCTCAGCCAGAGAGAGAGGCCCCGAGCAGCTTAGTGAGACCCTGTCTTAAAATAAAAAATATAATAATAAAATAAAAAGGGCTCAGTGGTTCGGCATTCCTGGGTCCAGTTCCTGGTACCATAAAATGGGACATAGGCCTGGGGCTGGGGCTCAGCGGTAGCGCACTTGCCTGGCACGAGTGAGGCACTGGGTTCGATTCCCAGCACGGCATGTACATAAATAAAATAAAGGTCCATCAACAGCTAAAAAGTATATTTTTTTAAAAAGGGGGGGACAGCAGTGGGGAGGGGGCAGTGGGGTCACTGATACCATTTCAGATAAAGTGTCAAGTATGATTTCACTGGGAGGTGACATGTGGACAAAGACCAAGGAGGTGAGGGAGGGTAGACATGAGGGAGCCATGTGGGTCCCTGGGAAAGGGTAGGACAGGGCCCTGTGTGGGTGACTGTCACCTCTGTGACCAACTGTCCCCGAGTTTCTCTGTAGGTATACCAGCATCACACACACACACACACACACACACACACACACACACACACACGCCACGTCTCCTCCTCCCCCTCCTTCCAAGTTCCCTGGAGACCCTGCAGTGTCCCCTGAGAGAGGCTCCGCAGATAAACAGAGAACCCTCTGGAACTCTCAGGGGGGTGGGGCCTTTTTTTTTCCTCTGAAAATCTGAAGAATTTGAATTCAGAAACTTTTCTTTAAACGAGAACGTCAAAAAGGACACGTCCCCAGAACCTTCTGTTGTCCAAGAACTTGGAACCAATGGGGCAACAAAAATGGTTTTTGTTAAAACCACCTACACAGCCAGAAAAGCGCGACCTCTTATAAACGCCTGGCCCAAGAGGCATTCCTCCCGCCAGCCGCTGTCCTCAGGACCTGTCCTGGTGACTTGGGGACAGGTGCCCTTCCATGATTCTGGGGAAGGTCTTCCCAGTTGTCCTGAGCTGCGCGTGGAATGGCCGCTGGGTGGCCTGCTGCAGTCCTAGCCTTGGCCTAACATAGAGGTGGAGACTTTGCAGAGGTCACCAACCTCACATGAGGTCACACTGAATCAGGATGAGCTCTAATCCAATGACCGTGTTCTTATAAGAGCCAGGAAACTGGGGCCAGGGGCGGTGGGGCCGGCCTGTAATCCCAGCCACTCAGGAGGCTGAGGCAGGAGGATGGCAAGTTCGAGGCCAGCCTGGGCAACTTAGCAAGACCCTGCCTCAAGATTTTTTTTTTTAAATGGCTGGGGTTATAGCTCAGTGGTAGAGCACACTCGGGTTCAATCCCCAGTATCACACAC